CTGCAGCAGGGGCTGCAGCCTACACAGTCGCCAGCGACTCATGGCAACCCAGCTCCAGGTTGAGCTGTTGTTCAGCATCTTAGCTGTGGAGGGTAGTGTCACTGGCCCTCATATGTGGGATCCGAACCGGGGCCCTCTGGCATCCCAAGCCAGTTCTTAACCATCGTGCCACTTGGCCGGCCCAAATTATTGGTAGTTTTAGTATGTAGAGAATTCATATAAATTCAGAAAAAAGAATAACATTGTAATAGAGAAGTAACAAAAGATAGGAACTAGCAATTTCTCCAAAAAACATACAAAAGACTAAGGAACAAGGGGAAAAAATTCTCTAGGCAATAACTGAAGAAATTAAAATTAAAATATCAACACTTTTGATGATATGGTTAGTAAACAATGAAAAAAGGAGAATAATGTCCACTGATGGTGGGAGTGTAAAGAGATTTGTATAAAATACTTAGAGAACACCTTATTTGCATAAGTTCTACTTATACAAATTTGACAGCTATTTGACTGTCAAATACTTATCTGACAGTTCTACTTATAGGAGTTCATCCAAAAGAAGAAATTAACAAATGACTGATAATTAGATATAGAAGTCATGTTAGTGTTGCTTGCATACTGACGAATTAAGAAAACATTTACATGTACAATAATAGATCATCTAAATAAATTAGGGAACATTTTCCATATCCTGGAATACCATGTAGCTACTGAAAGTGATCATGTGTTTACTTACATAAACTATCACAATATAATATGTGGGGAAAAAGTTTATGAAATATTAAGCATAGTATAATCCTGTGTGGGAGGGGGTAAATATGTATATAAATAAACTATGTACAGATGGAAAACAGTATGAAAGGATGGGCACCAAATTGTCAACAGTGAGTCATGTAATGGTTTGGTACTAACATTACAAGTAATTTTTGCTTTCTTATTTATATTTTCCAGTATCTTCTAAATCTTTACTATAAATATGTAATGTATTGGTAATCAGCAATATCAACAATGATAAAAATAAAAGGTTTTTATAAAACTGATAGGCTGAGTTACAACAATGAGAATATAAAGGAACTGCGCTTGGCTTTAAGGTCTGTGGAGGACTTCAGGTACCAGGACAGAAAACTCTGACTCCTGGGAAAATCTTTCCCTTTGGAAATTTACTATTATGCCTTAATTTGAAACATGTGTGTACAAATGTGTGCGAATAAAATTGTGGGACTTATGAAACTAACCCAATTTCAGATCACTCTTAGTGTACACTAACCGTACGTTCTTAATAAAGCATGACTGGATGGATGCAAAGTCATTCACTGAGTGACCACTTTGCTTCACCTATTCACCCATGACACATCCAGTGAGAGCCTACAGCATGTCAGGTACCAGGGACATAGCAATGAATAAGGCAAAGCCCTTACCACCCAGAAACTCCCAGGCTAGGACACAATCAAAATGCAATGGGATATGGTGTGGGAGTGGAGTCAAGGAATTTGTAATAGATATGTATGATATTGGGGGGAAGTGGGGCGGTGGATTGGGGGAGGGGGTTGTCACGTCAAGGGGTAAAAAGCATAACTATTGCACTGTGTTGTACAGCTGAAACTAATTCTAAAAAATGTGTATTGCATAATAAAAAATAATTTAATAAAAATAATAAATAAATAAACAGGGGTAGTATGAACCAGGAAAAAAAAATGCAATGGGAAAACATGCTAAAAGAGAGGAATTCACATAGTGCTATGGGACACACAGAAAGCATCATCGAGCTATGCAGCTGTAGGGAGAGGTGGCTGTCTGAGAAGGCTTCAAAGTGAGATAGAAGAAACTGAATCTTACAGGATGAGAAGCAATTTACCAGACTTGTGGGTGGGGACATTGAGGTTGTCCCAGGCCAAAATAAAATCAAATATAAAAATATGACAGCACAAGATGATGATGATGATGATGATGATGGTGATGGTGGTGGCCCCTTGTGCTCCAAACTGCACTGTACGCATATTAACTCATTTAATCCCACCACCAGTAATAAAGCCAATACTCACATTTCCATTTTACAAATGAGGTAATTGAGGAACCAAGAGATGGTTAAACTACGTTCACAGTAAATAAAAAAGTTAGGAGTCAACTCCAGGCCATCTGTGTGAGAACTGACACTCTTAATCACTATATATACTACCCTCGAAAGACAAAGATATATTTAAGAAATGGCCAAGTTATTCAATTCAAGACACTTTCATTAAACACCCACAGTGGTCCTGGTACTGTGCCAGGTGCTGGAGATATGGAGATGAGGGCCCCGTTCTAGTAGGGAAGACACAATATTTATACAACAATGTTAGATATGTGATCTAGGAGGAACACAAAGGAAAAAGCAACAGACTCTGTTGAGGCCTCAGGAATAGGGAAGACTTCTCAGAGGAGATGTGTGCACATGAAGGTCTTAACAAATAAAACAAAGCTCTCCAAGAATATTAAGATATGTGTAAGATGACAGAAAATATATATATTGGTCTCTGCCCTTCGTGCCTGGCACAGGGTTCCTAAACTCTTGTAAATTCCTAAAGATAAGAGCACTAGAAGCATCTCTCGTTCTAATGAGGTGACTCTGGGTGGGCTCCTAGATGAGGACTGGTCACCAGGAAGACCAAACCATGCTTGGAATTTTCAGTCCCACCCCCATTCTCCAGAGAGAAGAGAAGGGCTGGAAATGGAAATTAATAACTGATCATGGCTGCATGAGGAAGCTTCCATAAAATTCCCCAAGTATGGAGTTCAGAGAGCTTCCAGGTGAGTGAACACATCCATACTGGGCGGGTAACATACCCCGACTCCACAGGGACAGCAATTCCTGCAATCGGGACCTTCCCAGACCTCCCCCTATGTACTTCTTCACCTAGCTCGTTCAACTGTCTCCCTTATCACATCCTTTAATAAACTGGTAAGTGTCCATATGTGTTTCCCTGAATTCTATACGCCGCTCCAGCAAATTAATCAATCCCAAGGCTGGAGGACTTTGGAACTTCTGATAACCTAGGCTTGAACTCACATCTGCAGAAGTGGGTGGGGACAGCAGTCTTGTGAGATTGAGCCCTGAAACTGTGGGACCTGATGCGATCTCCTGACAGCATCAGACTTGAGTTGACCGGTGTTGGAAAATTGCTTCGTGTGGGGAAAAAAACCTCCACATGTCGGGTGACAAGAAGCGTCAGAAGAGAAGCGTTTTGTGTGAGCAGGAAAGGAGACACACAAAGAGAAACAGGAGGAGAGGAAGAACTAAGGTTTTCTCTACACAGGATGAAATAAAACTTTTCAAGAAGAATAAAAGCACATACAAAGGCATGATGTATGCAGTGCTATTTCCACTATTACTATGGGGGGGGTGCTGATGTGGCAAAATAATAATAGAATCAACAGGATTTGATGAGCAACTGGATACATGAGAGGAGGGTGGGTGGAGTCAGGAGGGGACCTGGGAGAGAAAAGACAATTTCCAGAGCAGGAAATAGAGCGGGTGACTGGGCAGTGAGGCCCAGCAGTTTTCTGTAGAACACAGGCCAGAGGACAGTTGCAGGTGGGGTTGGCTGGTGTTTCTCCAAGGATGAACCAAGAGAATCACAACCTGCTGCCTCTGGAAACGGGAGGCACATGGCAGGAGGGAGCCAGGTGGGCATTTCATCACTCAAAGTTAAAACAGTTAAAGACTTCACACGTATTTCAAAATTATTCTCAACTCTGAAAGCACTTCATTTTGCACGCCCAGAATTCCAATCACATAATTTCTCTATCTTAAAACTGCAAGAGCACTATAATACTGATATATAACTGAGTAGTAATTCCAACTATTTAAGGTAGCATGGTGCAACAGGAATATTATAGACATAAAGTTAAGTAAATAAGATATACTGTACCTTTAGGTGACAATGAGGTTTTAGATAAATTTAAATGCTTTAATCCTTTTGGGAGTTTGGCAAATTGAATACTTAAAGAAGACACACCTGAGAAAGGAGAAAAAGAGAGTATGAGAATTTTCAAGTTCTCAGAATTGCATTTGTTTTACAAGGCCTGAAAAATGAATTAAAATGTTATTCTATTAATAATATAAGTGCTCTTTTTCTAATGTCGGAGTTTATTTTCTAATCATCCACCATCATGCCTCCTTTTCTTTCTGTCTTACTGAATTATAGGAGAAAAGGTTGTTTAAGCATAACAATATCAAAGCTTTACCATTAGAGGTGTTTTCTCTTGGACTAACCTACACCTTTTCCTCATAGTCCTATTTCAAATACCCTTGGGAAGAGTTACATAATTGTTCCCCCTTTTTCTTTTTAACCTGTGTCGTAATGAGTTGATCACTCTTCCGGGTGAGCAAATGCATGCTATTTAATTGTCGTCAAGAAAATCAATGTAATGTTAACTATTCAAATAACAGCTTCACTTTTAGCAGATAATTCCAATACTTAATCGGCTTGTGGCTAACAATCTCAGACAAAACATCAGAGCACGTTTTAACTTCTTAAAGGTAGGTTTTGTAACTTAAAATAACTCCTGAGGAATTTACAGTATTGAAAATAAGACAGTCTCAAAAAAGAAAGAAAGAAAGAAAGAAAGAAAAAAAGCAGATAGTCTCTAAATTTAATTGCCAGAGTGGCAACACCAGCTCACTCATCTAAGGACTGCAATGATGCAGACTGTTTCCTGGGAGGAAAGAAGTAATACTAGAATGCATGCCTTTCTTTCAGGTCCTTCAACCACCTCCTATTGCACAGGAGTCATCACCTCCCAGGGGAATGTTCTTGGGAAGGCTCTTAAAACAGTATTAACCATGTGTTCCCCAAGACTGATTTTCAGACTCCAGGCACCAGTAAGGAACTACTGTCCTGGGTGCTGCCCTATTATTTAACCCCAAGTTCTCTGCAAGTTTTATCAAAGTTGATCATGAAATAACTACTGTAGAGACAACCTAAAAGTCATGCGGCTTGACTAAACCTCTGGATAAGTTTCCCCAAGGATGGTGGGTGTTCTGGGAACGCCTGCCTACCTCTCCATAGCATTTCATTGTCAAATATGTTTGACAATCACTGGACTAAGTAACATTAAGCAGGTTTTTATCTGAATATTTCTAGAGATTCGAGTGTGCTGATCCATATTGTTAATTGCAAAGTGGGAGCAGGCATGAGATTTAGTTGATACATTTTTGCGAAAGAATGAATAACGTTAATGGAGGGGAAAGGGGAAAAAGATGGTGTAATTTTCAACTTTGATTAATGCAAAGGGAAAACTAATATAAGAAGTAGATAATCTCAATTGTCCTCTATATACTCAAGAAAATAAACCAATTATTAAAAACCTCTCTACAGTACTTGCTTTGGCAGCAAATAATATTAAAATTGGAACGATATAGAGAAGATTAGCATAGCCCCTACACAACGATGACACGCAAATTTGTGAAGTGTTCCATATTTTTGGCAGAAGAAAGGGGAAAACAATCTAACTAATGAAGACCAGAAACACAAATAACAAAATGGCAATAACTATACATTTATCAATAACCATGTTAAATGTAAATGGATTAAATGCTCCAATGAAAAGACACAGGGTGGCTGAATGGATAAGAAAACAAGACCCTTGCATATGCTGTATATAAGAGACTCACCTCAGATCAAAAGACACATACAGGCTGCAAGTAAAGGGACGGAGTAAGATATTTCATGCAAATGGAAATGAGAAATAAGCTGGGGCAGCAATACTTATATCAGACAAAATAGACTTTAAGTGGAAGAATAATAAAAGACAAAGAAAGGCACTACATAATAATAAAGGGATCAATCCAACAAGAGGACGTAACCCTAGTGAACATCTATACACCTACCATTGGAGCACCTAAATATATAAAACAAATATTGACTGACATAAAGACAGAGATCAACAGTAACATTATCATAGTAGATGACTTCAACACACCACTGACAAGGGACAGACCCTCCAGACAGAAAATCAATATGGAAACAGCGGCCTTAAATGACACATTAGACCAGCTGAATTTAATTGATATTTTCAGAGCATTTCACTGCAAACCTACAGAATATACATTCTTCTCAAGCGCACATGGAACTTTTTCCAAGATAGATCACATGTTAGGCCACAAAACAAATCTCAATACATTTAAGAAAACTGAAATCATATCAAGTGTCTTATCTGACCACAGTGCTATGAAATAAGAAATCAATTACATGAAAAAAAACTGGAAAACACACAAACACATGAAGGCTGAATAAAATGCTACTAAATACCGAATGGGTTAAAAATGAGATCAAGGAAGAAATCAAAAGATACCTTGAGACAAACGAAAATAAAAACACAACAACCCAAAATCTTTGGGATGCAGTGAAAGCAGTCCTAAGAGGGAAGCTCATAGCAGTGCAGGCCTATCTAAAGAAACACGAAAAATCTCAAATCAACAGGTTATCCTTACACCTCAGGGAACTGGAAAAAGAACAGTAAAATAAACCCAAAGGGAATACAAGGAAGGAGATAATAAAGACCAGAGTGGAAATAAACAAAAAGAGTACCAGAAACACAATACAAAAGATCAATGAAACCAAGAGCTTGTTTTTTGAGAAGATAAACAAAATTGACAAACCTCTAGCCAGGCTCATAAAAAAATAAAAAAACAAATAGATAAATAAATGAGAGAGGACTCAAATTAATAAAATCAGTATGTCAACTATAATTATATATACATATAGTCATGGGACATGGAGTAGAGAGTGGGAATGGAGTCAACGGAATTGTAATAAATAAGCATGATATCGGGGGTGGGAGGGCAGTACATGGGGGGAGGAGGGTTGTTACTTTGTGAGGGTGAAAAGGATAACTATTGCATTGTTATGTATATCTGAAACTAACAATAAAAAAAATTTTTTTTTTAATCAGGAATGAAAGACACCACAGAAATACACACACACACAAAATAAGAAAATACTATGAGCAAGTATATGCCAACAAATTTGAGAATCTGGAAGAAATGGACAATTTCTAAAAGCATACAACCTTCCAAGGCTAACTCAAGAAGAAACAGAATATCTGAATAGACTGATTACCACCAAGGAAATTGAATCAGTAATCAACAAGCTCCCAACAAACAAAAGCCCTGGACCAGATGGCGTCACAAGTAAATTTTACCAAACATTCAATAAAGAATTATCACTTATTCTATTCAAACTATTCCAAAAAATCCAGAAGGAGGGAAGGCTCCCAAACTCTTTTTATGAGGCCACTATCACCCTGATCCCCAAATCAGACAAAGACATTACAAAAAAAGAAAACTACAGGCAGATATCCCTAATGAACACAGAAGCAAAAATTCTCAACAAAATATTAGCAAACAGAATTCAGCAACACGTTAAGAAGGTCATACACTACGATTAAGTTGGGTTCATCCCTGGCATGCAAGGTTGGTCCAATATCTGCAAATCAATTAATATGATATACCACATCAACAAAATGAAAAATAAAAATCATATGATCATATCAATAGATGCAGAAAAAACATTTGACAAAATCCAGCAGCCATTTATGATAAAAACTATTAGCAAAGTGGGAATACACTGTTTGGTGGTCTCCTGCTGGTTTGATCCACTATAGCTCTCTGAATCCCGACGAAACCATTACATCTGAGAAAAGCATGCTCAGCAAATCGATGAGTTGCACCAAAAACTGCAATGCCTGCAGCCGGCCATTGGTCAACAGAAAGGGCCCAACAACGCCCGACCGCATATCAAACAACCAACGCTTCAAAAGTTGAATGAATTAAATGAGCCACTGAGTTGCGCCTTCCACAACTAGAATGAAACAACTACTCAGGAGCTGACAGGTCCTGGAAAAACACACTGTTCCCCAATAAAATTTCTTTAAAAAAAAAAAGTTGAATGAATTGAGCTATGAAGTTTTGCTTCATCCACCATGTTCACCTGACCGCTCGCCAACCGACTACCACTTCTTCAAGCATCTCGACAACTTTTTGCAGGGAAAACACTTCCACAACCAGCAGGATGCAGAAAATGCTTTCCAAGAGTTCGTCAAATCCCAAAGCATTGATTTTTATGCTACAGGAATAAACAAACATTTCTTGTTGGCAAAAATGTGTTGGCTGTAATGGTTCCTATTTTGATTAATAAAGATTTGTTTGAGCTTAGTTATAATAATTTAAAATTCATGGTCTGAAACGGCAATTACATTTGCACCAACCTAATATATATA